TCACCATAATTACAAATATATTCGATATGCCAAATGTCAGTCCAAAAGCATTGAAAATTATTCGAATGAAACTTGACATTTTGGAATTATTTTCATATGATGTCAATATGGATTTCACGAGATTATGCATGGAAACCTATTTTGAAAAAAAAATTATATGTACACTCATAATTATATATATGTTTTATACTTAAAATTTTAAGAAAATATTCATAAACAACAACACTTGAAATTACCAAAATCATGATTATTGTGGCTGAAAGGAAATAGTTGAATTCGAACGTAGTAGTATGCATCTTTTATTTTATTTTAATTTTATCGTGAAGACAAGCGAATTAGTAATTAAATGCTCTCATATATATACAATTTTTCATTTTCAAATTGTATCTATTGATTATACCGACTTTTCGTAAGAATTTTTTATGATTTTCGGAAAGTAAAACAATACTAAGAATATAGTTTTTCGTAACATGGTAACATTCATTAATTTTTGGGAAAAATGAATAAAATGAATAATACTCCAATAAAATTTTGAACAATACAAATTAAATAAGTTATAAATAAATATTGAATTTTTTCACGTATGTATCCTAAAATGTCTTTACTGTAAGTAAATATCCGGAATTGTCAAATTGATATTGTGTGTGCTTAAACCAATTTGTCAAAATAAATTTACATTTTTAAATGAATTTACTTTTGCAATTGGTAAATCACTTGCCTACTTTAGTAAGTAGTTCAAGTATGTTCAATGAACTTCGATTTTTGTTTCGTTTTCGGGTTCAAATGTTCTTTCTTTGATGTGGTAGAATAAAATTACATTAATATAACCTGAAATATAATAAATAATTGAAATTTCGTATAAAAAAAAGTTCAGATTATAACTAAAATAAAAAAAATTAGTTGAAGTCCAGAAGTTGGGTTCTTGGAAAGATCTGCATGATTTTGGCCAAAATTGGATAATGATAAAGTTAACTTTCTCAAAATACCTTATGCTTGTATTTATATTTTTTTTTGATTAATAAAAGCTATAAGATTTAACGATTCAACATTATTATCTTATGAAAATGAGAAATCCGAGCCAATAATCAGAATTTTAAAGATACATCTTCAAATACAGTTAAATATGTACATCTCATCTTTATATTAATAAAATGACATTTAAAATATCATTACATCAATGATACTTATTATAAACCAGTGGAGTAAGTGATAAGAAATTCCACCAGTGTATACATAATACCGATAGGATAAGTTGGTTTATTAAAATTAGCCACATTATACGTATTCGAGGATTTTTGATGGGGAGATACTGGAAAAGTTTTAATGTTGACAGCTGCGTCACACCGCTAGCACAAGCATGTCTAGTGACTGATATTCATGCCTAAGCGAAAACTTGTATAAAATCACGTGCGTGTTAATTTTTCAGGTTGAATACTTTATTGATAAAATTTATTTTGAGAGCTGAAAAATTATAGAACTTCAGTCTTATGATTGAACATGCGTTTTACATTCTAAATATACATTATAAAGAGGCAGGCTCTTTAACTTTGTCTTTAAGCTTTGACTTTTTTTTAGACTTGGACTTTGAATCATCTGTCGCTACTGATGAATCAACTCCTGATTTTGACTCTTGCACTATTGCAGATAAATCTGATTCAACTATAGATGAAGATCCTGATGATGTTCTGAATTTAAGACTTTGCATAAGTGTTTCTTTTGCTTTTACAAACTTAGTCGACTTACTCGAACTAATATCGATTTTTAAAACCCATTGTTGAATATTCTTGAGTTTTGCGTCCTGTTTTTTGACCTTTCGAAAGCTCTTACTGTTCGTATCTTTTGTTACAATATCTTGATATTTATAAGTGTCATATATATCGTCCGGTACTACAAAGGCCAAATTAATTGGGGTTTTCCTTCTATAGGCCGGCATATTTTCAATTATATTAACTAGCTCGACTTGTTTGATTGGATGATTGTTGGATACCGTAATTTGAAAAATCATATCTGGCGTGTAAAATAGATCTGTCGCACTAAAATTTGATGTCTCAGGAAGGATAATTATCTCATCACTTTTACTTGAAAGTTCCTTTGCAATTCGAATATTACTAATTGTTGGCGATTTACCCATGGAAAATTTCCTATGTTGGAGAATATCTTTTGTCTTAAGGCTTTTCGGCAGTTCTCTCATAGCGTATTGATCATTACTAGACCGGAAAATATGGATTACGTACATCTCGAACATAATCCCTCTAGCACTGGAATAGTTTCTCATCATTTGGATCCTCTCCAAAAGAGAGCTCCATGACTGTTTCTCTAGTCTTCTCTCGATCTCATCGTATATATAACGAGAAGCCCATTGAAGGTGATAATTATTATAAGAAGGATCTGGCTATCGATGAACAAGATGACTGCTATATTGAATAAAATAGGCATTTCGGGTAAAGCAAGCTATAAGATCGTCGAAGTTTTTAACTTACAAAAGAGCAAATTCAACCCTTTCAAAAGCTTTCTTTATGATCATCTCTTTCCCTTCTGGCGTTTTTGGATTTAAACCATATTTCAATGAGATTTCAACCTTTCGGAAAACGTATCTTGGCACACTGCCTGCCTTGTCATAAAGAGCTAATATTATGTCTTCAGGCACGTCTGAGAAAACATATTTCCAGCAAAATAACAACTCTTCTAGTGACCAAGGTGACATGTAAAATGTTTGTACTAGATCCTTCCTGAATTCTTGAAATTTGTCTTTAACTACGCCTTTTGGCGATAAAGCAACCACCGTTTTCGCCGGGACTAACTTGGGAGATAAAATTCCATCCGCTAGGTACCACATTTCGGAGGATTGAAAGTGAGTTGAGAAATCATCATAACGACCGAAACTGAGATTAAGATCCTCAAAACAGTAGAAGTCTTTGCTTTGAACTGGCTGAAAAATTATCGTGGGATTCTCGGATTCACAAAGAAGCTGGATTAAGAAGTAAATCAAGAAGCATAATTTACCAATACCTGAAATGCCGGTGACGAGGAACTTGTGATCAGAACTCTTAGAAGCTTGGTTGATCATTAGATGGTAAAGGTCCTCGTATGATTTTCTCACATATAATGCTGGCTTTTTAATCACTGCAAAAGGTTTGTCTTAAGGGTGTTTAATAATATTGCATGGGTTAACTTCTTCCTCTTTTATAATCATTTCTTCAATCACATCTTCAATATTGGTTGAACCGGACGTTGATGCAATAACCTCTTTTTTACTATTTCGTAAATGATTGACCAAATCACAAATGTTACTAAATTCCGCCTCTGATAAAAAAGATGAAAATGGAATGATTAATAAGTCATAGCTTATGGAATTTGACGACTCCTTGTGTTAGTAAAAATTTACCTATAATTTTTCCCTTCTTGGATTCTCTTGATTCAACAGAAGGTAAAATTAACCATTTTCCTGCACGTGAAAAATACATTACAAAATATAAATCAAACAAGTATGTCACAATGCCAGGATTACAACTATCGATTAATCAACAAAGACGCGTTCACTGCGTTGACCAAAATATTATGACTCATTTACCAACAACGGATGTTATTACTCACCAGTAACGGGAACATCAACAACAACTCGAATATTAATTTCTCTAATCAATTTTGCAATGACTTTTGCTGATCCTATTTGCAACTCACACCCTTGAAGCTCATCTTGACTTAACTCGAGAAAGGCTGAACTGGGGACCCAGTTATCTTTAATTGTTTTAATGTCTTGATCCCTGAGAAATAGCTCATCTTTATTGGACTCTAGAAAAGTAATAACATCATCCGGGCTCCATTTATTAACTTCTTCGACTGACGGAAAGGAGATATTATTAGACATTTTTTTTTTGTGTTGGTTAAATAAAAGTAGTACATTCATCTTTTTATTGTACATCATTTCCATGAATAGGGTCTGATCATAAAATAAGGCCAATCTGAAAATACGCAATACAATACAGCAATATCGGAAAAATTCTAATAGGGGCTGTGCAATGTAAGGTACATTATTTTAATTTCTGTATGTTATATCGATCAGTGACATATAAGTGGTCAAACCATAGATGATCGACATAACTTGGCTATTATGCAGATCATTAAATTTATTTGTGCAACAATAAGGCGAGACAAAATAAAATTTTCAGTTTTCATATCAAAATTTGGTTGCACATGACCCGGCCGCCCGGCTTTTTATTATTAATAACAAAAAATTTTATTGGATATTTTTGATGTTTCATAACCTAGTTACCCGACTAAAAATTTCATATGTTAAAATTTTATACTACGCATTCATATAATAAACTTTTTCAAATTATCAATCAAAGAAGAAAAAAATAATCTAAATTGATTATTTTTTAAAAAGCATGATTAATTAGAACAATTAATCAATCAATAGATCAACATCCCATTTCTAATTGCAATTCAAACAACTCTTTCTAATCGCATCCCTAAGTGGCTTTACTTTTTTAAGTGAAATTAAAATGCATTAAAAACCTATTTGTATTAATAAATCCATATAAATTTTATGAAATTAAGACAACTTCCCTTTTCCAATTGTATTCCCAAGTGAATTTTCTTTTCTGAATACAATTCCAAGTAATCTTTCACTTTTAGGTGAAATTAAAATGTGTAAGTTCACATTCGCATATATAAGCTAACAAAAAAAAAAGTGGCAACATGTTATAATGATTTTTCGAGTCCTTTAACAAGCTTTTTTTAAAACTTCAACAACAATGCCTTTTGCAAATATTCAGATATTCAAAAGATCAAAACCTTTTCATGGATGGATATTCATCCTATTCCATATGAAATGACAATCAAAGATTTTTTTGTTAAACTTGTAAATAAGGAAATATCTCCCGAATGCAATATTGCTATAACAAACTCTAAAACAATAGAATACGTTGAGTTAAGTGAAACACCAGTATTAGTTATAATCCAAGCCAGCCTTGATTGTAATATTATAGAACTTACGAAAAGTGTAGGAATACATATACATTATCAGCTTAAAGTTGATGACAATATGATTTCTAATTCATTATCATAACAAAACAGCCTTACGATCTTAATGCAAAATACATATCAAACCTGATTATATTTGCCAACTTTCTCACAATTAGATAAGACAATCGTAAGTTAACATTACGTAGCAATCTCGTTAGTTGGATTCATTATCATAATGAAGGATGGTCTACTAAATCATATGCTAATACTCAAGGGAAGCAATTTATTGTTAGTTTAACTGAAGCGATCTGGTATATTGATATGTGAAATCGCCAAAAATATGAAGAACATTATACCCAAACTTTTTCTTGAGTTTTTTGCTCATGCAAATCCAGAATCGTATAAGCAATCACGAAAATTCTTTGATGCAAATGATCTTAATTTGCATTGTCAAGCTCTTGCTCTATATGCTACATCTTCATGGATGTTAATGGCAAATTTTGACTGGCTCTGTGATGCATTTGATCGTCTTATTATTGCTATTTCAAATTATGTTGGATTTTTACAACGTCAAAGTGAAGTTACTGCTATAAATCATGCATCTGATACTCCTATACGAACATCGATCAAGCTATAACAGTTAAAGTCCACAAGCAAAATGTTTAGATTACAGCCATTGATAAAAACAAATACTGTTATCTTATACAATTGCTCACTGATTTACCACCTTGGAAGCCAGTTGATATTGAAGAATACCTACCGACCGATCCTGTGTAAGTAAATGGAAATAATATTAAAAATTGTTAGTATATATAACTAATGAAATAATTTGAATTATAGTCAAAGAATGCGTTATATCCAGAATTTATCTCATGTATTTTTCTTCAAAATTGGAGAATATCGATTTAATTCTGGTAATAATGCTTTTAATGCAATTTCAATATAGAAAATTGATGAACAAGCTGATGAGGTAACAACTAAAGATGGTATAGCAATTGATTTCAAATTTACAAAATGTTGCAACATAAGCTAAAATTAGTTGCAACATATGTTGCAACATTATAAGTTGCAATATATATAGGTTAAAACTAATTGCAACGTAAGTTGCAACATATTAATTACAGTTCCCATCTTTAGTAACAACACTACAAGGAAACAAGAGAATTATAAGTAAATTGCAAGCTGATGCACCTCGCTTTCATACTCGAACAATGCGAACTAATTATATATGTACCTGCGATTTGCTTCTTCTGAAAGCTAAGCCATCAGCACTTTGAATGATTTATTGAATTATTGAATGTTAACAGGTGACATTTCTGCAGCTGAGAATCTAAATGAAGCGAAAGTAGATGAATGCATCAAACTTGCTTTAGAACTTGGAGATCCTGAAATTACTATTGATTTACGTGAACATAATGATGGAAGACCTGGTAAATATAATGTTTTCTGGAAAACTGTAGCTCGATTTTTAGCAGGTAAAGCAGCAGATGCTGTAACTGCTGTAAATGAACGTAGACAAGACCCAATTGTGCATCTTGCAACTGCAATTTCAGTAAATGATCTTTTGCATCAGATTAAATACGAATGTTCATCTGAAATATCTATCCAAAGTGCACAATGGTTAAGGCAATTTTGGCCTAAAAATTCAACCCGACTTAGTAGTTTGCAGTTTACTGGACACTTATCTTTAAATTTCATGGTTCAAACATGTCAATTATGGGCTTATTATTTGGATGCTCATTATGCATCAGCATTGTTCCGTTATGAGAAGGAGTTTGCTGTGAAATTTTATAAGATCGCAAATTTTGTCTTTTTAGATGATAAACATCGATGTAAGGTTGGAGAGCCTGGATTTCCCGTTGCTGCAGTAAAAAGAGAAAAGAGAATTGTGATTAGTAAAGATACTACAATTATAGTTGCAGATCATGATTACACAAAAATAGGGACCATACCAAGTGTAACAATGGTATGTAATATACTCGATTCGATAAATAGTAATTTCTATATGGGAAAAGTATATATTGGATTGAAGGACCCAATCTTTCAGCCTTCCTCGCCTATTCGTCATGCAACAGAATTATATCACATACTTCTTGATGAAGAGCTCATCAATAAACCTATTTTGTGTCTTTATACAGATGGTGAACCAGATTATCGTTACACATATACCTGTGTTCAGCTCTCCTATATTTATCTTTTTCTTGTATTAGACTTTGACTATGTTGTTGCTGTTCAGACTCCACCACAATATTTCTGGAAAAATCCTGTTGAACGTATTATGTCGATTCTGAATCTTGGGTTACAAGATATTAGGTTAATGCGAACCAAAATGAACGATCAATTAAAAACTAATAAAAGGGGCTGGTACAATGAATGAGATTCGCAAGATTGCTGAAGAAAATCCTAACTTGAAGAAGGATCTTAATGAAAGTCTTTAAAATCCAATTCGCTTGATTCGTAGTGTATTCAGCCGTCAGTCTCTTAAGGATGAACTGTTTGAAACATTTACTGTAGCATCAAAAATGGAAATGAAAAGATTTTGGAAGACTATTCTACTTGTTGATAATAGTGTTACTTATGAAGACCATACTGCAAAACATATAAAACGAAAGGTAAGTAAAATGCTATTTGAATGAATCATTATACAAAAAAAAACTAGAATAACATATCTTTATTTAAAGCCATATCTGCAAGAATTTTTAAACCATTGTTATACGGCAAAACACTATTTCTTTTTAATCAAAAAATGCGGTGAATCATCCTGTATCATTTGTCATCCTCCTCGCTGCTTGCCAGAAGATTTCGAACAGCTTCATTATCTTTCAGATCCAGTGCCTAAAGATGACTTACATTACAAATCATTTGAAGAGTTATATGGCAAGCAAACAATAGAGGATTATAAACCTTCACTTAATAATGCTAAAATGAGAACAAAAAAAGGCAAAACGAAAACCAAAAGTGCAAAACATACTATGCCATTTTGACCCTCTGCCGCGTGTGCAAGAAACGTTAGTGTCATTGTAAATTGCTTTGAATGTGAAAAATCGCATCTTTTATTTAGCACAAAAAACTTTCAGAAAAAGACAAGATGATACTACAAGGATTCTTGAATACAATTCTTTATACCTGTGGTATATCATTTCATAATACATGTGACCTTACAAAGGCCGTGCTATAAAAACAATCAAACATACACATAGGAAATGAGATTGGCTGTAACAAAGAAGTTAATGATCAAGAAACAACAAATAAGGATGAATATGATAAAAATAAAGAGAACGAATCTGAAGACTCAGAAAGCGAAGGCGAAGACGAAGACGAAGGGTCCAATAATAATGTGGAAGCGAAGACTAGCAATAATGCAGAAGATGCAGTTTGTGAACTTTTTTCAAGGGTCTTCGTTAATGATTCATGGTCTTGTGCATCGCAAGTTGAAAAACCATACTACTCAGCCGGAATCTATCCAGATGTTTGCATTGAATGCGGAAGTTTAAATGTTAGTAAGCCAGCAAAAGGTGAACAACCATGTTGCAGTGGCTGTGTTAATCACACCACTGTTTCAAAGAAACGTTTAATGTGGAAACAGGGTGGTAAAGATAAGAAAAAACAGAGAAAAAATTAGCTTCCGAATTTCTAAATAAAACTTGAATATAAAGGATCGACCCGAATATTAATCTGACTGTAAAATTTAAGGTTAAATTTAAGTTTCAGTGATAGACAAATCAATCACGTAAAATTGTATAAAGCATTACTATTGGTCAATTATTTTAAAAAAAAAAATTACTGAACTCCGTTCCAATGACCCGGCCGGGTTATGAAAATCGAAAAATTTATTTTGTCCCGCCTAATTTAGACTGAAACTTTTGAGAATTATTTAAATTGTAGCATAATACTGAATGAATATAAAAAAATTTTTGCGTTCCCAAGTCACAAATGATTCTTTTTAGAAATCTAATCTTTTTTTTTTCGTGTTTTTTTTTTATTCTATAAATTCGTGAAAATGCGACATGAAATAGAAATATATTAAATACATACAATATTGGTGGTATGAGTGAATAATTAAATGTGTATTTCTGATCGTTACAAATGTTAAGTGAATTTAAATAAATAAGCAAAGACTTAACTCCTTTGGCTGAAAGATCAGTAAAAATTGTTAACTCATCGAATAACAGGTAAAGGATCATTATGCAAGTATTGAATTATTTATATCTCAGTCGTTAATCACATATTAATTAATTAAAACTTTCTACATGTTATTCTATAAATACAGCTAGCCAATACTATTATATATTGAATACTCGATGGATTTATGACAATATTATATGGATGAATGAATATTGAGCTCTCCTTAGCATATTCCTTTTATATCAATTTTTTTTATTCTCATAAGATCCTGTGCTACTTACTACATTTCTTTTGATGCTTTTATTGAGCCATGATTTATGTGTAATCATTCATGGATTCTTTAAGGTATTTAATAAAATTGATAACTATCCTCTGGAATTCCTTATCTTACCCACGTAATTTAGAACATCCATCACCCTTATTATATATGCATCCAACTTTACATACATGCCAAATAATGCATATACAAGACAATTTCCTTACATAACTAAAAGTATGTTTTTTTCTTTATTTGTTGGATTTTTACTAAAACCTTTTTTACTTTTTTTATTTTTTTAAGATTTTTTCCAAGCACTATGTCGGATGATGAAGATAACAGAACTTATTATGTTCGTTATGAAAATATTTCTCATACTCTCACCGTTGGTTCTGTAGTAGTGTTTCAAAGTTAGGCAGTCATTTTTTTGTTGATGGAACAACTACTGATCAGTTTCTGGAGGATATTTGACTGCGGGTTTAAATTTGGAAATAAATAGCAAAATCCAAAGTAAAACTAGTTCAACGCAGCACATGATATAAGCGAAGATGATGATATATTGATAGTTAAGAATGAGTTGGCATGTTATTAGATTAAAGTATATTATTTGTTTAAATTTTGAATGATATTTTTATTTTGATTCGAAAAAATCGCATTTTGACTTTTCGCGGCCCTGTATCAATGCTGCATTCATGGTAAAACTCGAGATTCATATGAAGAGTTTATGATAAAAGAGCGCAAAAATGCTAAACGAAAGCTTGGTAAATAGATGAGGAATGAAAAGATGGTGATAGAAACGTAAGCATATTCTAGACATTGACGATCGTGAGGTTAGTGATAAAATTATAACTTTTCATCAAGGTTCGCGGATGTTATTGAGATTGCTTATAACTGCATTATGGCTTCTTATTAGATCTATTGATGAAGGATCGGAGATAGTCGCTCGTTTACGGTATAAAACTTCAACATTTAGTTTATAAGTTCAACGATTTACTTTGGCAAGATAGCAATCGATCAACACTTTTGATGTAATCATTTGCAACCTTTCTTGAGTGATCCTATTTAAAAGAGGTGTTTCAGTCGAAGTAGACTTGTAGATCATTTAATGTTGTTGCTAGAATAATGAAAACAACTCTTACGTTTATTCGGTCAGATATTTCGTTTATCCGAAAGTTTCACTTCAGAAAATGAAGATTCGTCTTTGTTAATGGATTTTTCAAGACATAATGATGCGATTAATATTCTACCGCTGTAATGAAATCTTTGCTGAGATTATATATATACATTTGCTGCATCAACACCTAACACCTAACACTGGATATATAGATTGTTATATGCTCAGGTAGTGGATATAATATCACATCAGGTTCCCTGAATCATTATCAAAATAGCTTTTTCATAATGATGATGCTGATCTTTTGTGTCAAAATCATACAAACATTTTTCACTTATATAATTCTTTCAGCATTATTTGTTAAACCAGCTCAATGGTTAACTAGGTCAGATTCATAAGCTTATGATATTGGAAATTCAGGCGTTTTCATGTAATTACTTCTGGAATAGATATCATTATAATCCAACCTTATTCAATACTTACCGCTGCCGATCCAGAAAAAAGTATAAAATCTGCAATGATTATAGGAACGTGTATGTAGCTTCTGTAGCTACTACTCAAGTTTATATGCTTTAGAATCTATATTTTATTTTCTTTGCACATATCAAGCTTAGAAACTGATGATATGAAACAAACAGAAACAAAATTTTACTTAAGAGATCAATTGCAGAAAGTTTAAAAGATACTTTAATAGATGCATTATTTGAACGAGATCAAGTTTCACGAAAATTTAATATCTATACTATGTTCTTAAAAGGAAAAAAAAAACAATTTATCTCTTTTACAAAATGATCGTATCGAAACTCCTACTAGAACTTCAAAAAAAGGCTAAGCAATGTAAATAAAATACATCTAGCAATGAAGAAATATATCCAGTTGAACACGTTTTCTGAGATCCAACTCTTATGTTAGTTATTCATTCCCTTTCTCTTTAAGTAGGTTTTTTGATCTGAATTGCAAAGGCTTGTTTACAGATAATTTTTTTTTTTGAAGTTTATAACTACATAATCTCATATCCATATATACGTACTTTATTATATAAATAGTGGATGAAATCTTGGTAAATGATGTTGGTAACAAGGTACGTTTTATAAAAACTTCTATTACTTCTATATTTAAATTTTATGTTGATAATTTTAAAATTTTTCGTTAATATCAGGTTCGAGACCAAAAAAATAAATCCTTTTAAAGTTGATATTGACAAAGAAGGAGGTCAAATTTTCATCTTAAAATATTACTAAACCAAAGTAAATTATAATGATCATAACTGAAAAGGAATTCTTATTGAAATACACACAAAAAATCTTAACTTATCTTTTTCGCAACTTTTACATCTTTCAAATTATGATAAGGATTCCGGTGGTCGTAATTTTTCGGTGCTAAATTAACGAATATACACAGTATGGAGTTCTTTGTGGAAACAACTTCAAATGACAAGAAATATCACCAAACTTTCTGACCATAATTGAACAACCAATTACCACCGCTTGTTCTAAAGGTGAATACACGTTGTTCACATTCAAACCGATTTTCACAAGTTTAATATAATGTTGACATTATTGCCCTCTTAAAAAGCGAGTATATGACATGGCGGTGTGTTGACGAAATTCAAGTCTTCTTGAATAATGAATGAGTGATTGCGAAGACTTAAAATCTTCATTAATATATAATAATGTGGTGAAAGATGGGAAAAGAGCCCTTTTCTATATTGATTCTCAATTCCATCAGTAAGTTTTTTTTAATACTTGATTAAAAGGACATACCCACGTTAACTACATTGAGATCAATTTGCTGAATCTTTACAGAGAAATAAGGAGAAAATCATATGTGTATATTCATCAACCGTTCGATAAAAAACCTATCTTTCGATTCTCGGGTGAAAGAAAATCTTATATCTACATGTGATCCAAGTGAGCCTTCTTTAATAAACGTAAGTAATTGTACTATTCATAGAATTTCATATTAAATATATTTTTATAAGCAAAATATTGATTTTTCTCCTATATAATAATTCTCAAATCTGGATGAAGTTAATAATAAACTAAATAAAGAATTAAGAAGACGGATGGAAAAAAAGAGCAAGAAGTTAATAAAATGTCAAATTTTTTTTTGTTATTTAGATTACAATATGTTGTATATATATAGAATCACTGGTATTCAAAATCAGATGATGTAAACAACGCTGGTGGTAGAAATGCTTAGGAGTGTACTTTAATCCTTAGCGAAGGTGACTCTATAAAATCATTGGTAGTTGCCAGGCTTTCCAAAGTTAGACATGATATTTTCCCACTCTGGGAAAATTTAAATATTTGTTGAAGGTAACCACTCTCTGATCATGAATAATTAAATTCAAAAAAGCAAATGCTTGGGACTGAAGCAAGGAGTGAATTACGATTTGGGCATCTGATGATCATGACAGATCAAGATCACGATGGAAACCTTATAAAAGGATTGATAATAAATTTCTTGGATCATTTCTTTCGCTCCTTGCTAAAAATTCCAGTTTCTTATGGAAATTTAACGTATATATTGTAAAGGTATGAAACCATTCAATACGCTAGACATAACTTTGAGATCCAATAATCATTAAACAATTTTATTAGTTTATAAAGGGTGGTGAAGAAGTTTCATGCCTGAATATGAAAATTAGAAGGACCCTTGATGCTAAAAATTGAAGATCAAATATTACAAGGTAACTTTTCTTTTATATGTAACGAATATAATAAATACCCCTATTTCTAAGGTTTTGACACTTCTAATACAAGCAATATTTTAGAAATTTAATGCACCTTTTGGAGTTATTCAAGAAGGTTAGCGATAGTTGATCGATATGTCCTTTAATAAAAAAGAACGCCATTATCGTTAAATAATTTTGTTATATAGAAAATTTTTTTTTTTTTTGGTTACCTTATTACAGAATGTAACCTTTTTAACAAAAATTCTCATTCAAAAAATTTATATTCTTCTAGACTGGTACAGTACCTACATGAATCATGATTAGCAAGAACAATTAAAGTTTCTTCGTTAGCCAGGTCTGTTTTAGAACAAATGTAGGTCTTTAAGGTATATGGCTCACGATTTTGTCGGTTCAAATCAATCAATATTGAAGGTCAATTTGGTACAAGGGCTCAAGGAGGAAAAGATGCTCATTATACAATCCCTGAATTAAAATCGATCGGGATAATAATGTTTTCGGGATTTTTTTTTTATTAGTAACCAAAAGTCATTTCTGTATAAGCCGTCATTAAACTATAATTAAGACAACATTCAAGTAGTACATATAATTATAGTGAGAAGGTTTTTAATAGATAATATTTACAGTATATACAATTATCGTTCAGCCAAATAGGATCATGCTGATCTTCATATACCGATATTTTTATTTAGCGTAGCAATATCATAAGAAAATTAAATATTATACTTTACATAGTGTATACACACAATATTGATTTTAATATAAGCTATGTTACTACATTAAATCTAATCATTCGCAATATTAATTTTAATATTAAAATTACCCAATCCACCATTTTGCATTAATGACGAAAGTTGTTCCGGGCTCATGAAAATTTCTAGTGAATTATTGCTTGAATTTTGAAGAGGTTGACGATCTAGAGAAGGTTCTTTGATTGTATTGGATTCAATCAAAGAAGACTTGGAAGAAGTCTGCATTGCTTATTTATTTAAAAAAGGTGAAAATTATAATTCTATTAATTTTTAAATTATGTTAAATATATTTAATATACCTTCTTTCGCAGTTACGAAACTTTTGAAAGGTTCACTATTATTTTTTATATTTTCAATATCAACAATACCAGTTTCTAAAGTATTTAAAATTGTTAGAAATTTAAAAAGCAAAAATTTATATAAAAATGACAATGGTAATACCTGAGTTTATATTATAATTATATATTTTTGTTATCATTTGATGCATCATATTTGTTCGTTCCTCATTTCTTGGCAACTCATATGAATTCAATCCTGCTTCTGTTCGATGTCGTGATTGTAAACGTATTTGTTCTCGTGAAATTCCTGTAGTTTGCAATCCTTGAATCATTGTCTTTCGACCTCCATGATTAGTTATCTTACGATTTGTAAGATCAATTTCTGTTAATCTACATATTTCACGCATAAATCCTTTTAAACGTGCTTCACCTAAATGAGAACGTTTAAACCAAATTCCAGTCTGCAATGCTATTTTAAATAAAATTAAGTTAATTTGATTTGATGTTAGAAAAAAACAAAATAAAGGTGAATTACCTCTTTCTTCTTCATGTTCTTGTAAATAAAATTGTTCATCAGCTGAAACAGGTCTTTTTGCAAAATATGATTCATAATCACTAATTATCTCTACCTGATTTGGTATAGTTAATATTTCTGCTTTCCCACGATCATTTAATAGCTCTCGTTGATTTGTTTTTAAATGATAAATATATACATCAAAACCTCCATCCTTTCGTTTTTTAAAATTCTTTGCCTTAATTAATGAATGCTCACCTCCTCTTAACCCAAGAATTATTGCATTAAGAAAAAATACCCTTCTTAACAACCTTTCAGGTGTTGATCCATCCACAAATTTATGTGATAATACTATTGTATTTCTGTAATGCTTAATCCATCAGAACCTTTAGTTTCTTTGTATCCAAGATCACTTAAATATTTGATTTTTCCACTTGCAGTCTCAGATAGAATAGTAAAGATATTAGTATCATAGATATTGACATGTTTAATAATGGAATTTTTATTCAAATGTCGATATAATGCTGCAATTGCCGATTTTACAGAACTTGTTGCATACTCTTCTCCATTTTTTTGTTTCATTGATGCAACATATTTGGTCAGTTGCTGATCTAATTCATCGATATCATTAATTTCTTCTATTTTTCCATCATATCCTTGACTTTCGTGAAAATTTTCATCCAATTATTAGTAGAATAAAGAGTATTTTTACTTGATTTAATTTTCTATAAAAAATAACATCTTTACATTTCTTTGTTCTTTAGACTTTTCTTTGGACTTTTTATATAGAATTTTTAGCAAAAAATAAATTTATAGCTTAATTTTTACAATACCGCATGATCAAAAACGTCAGTATGATAATACTTTTATTGGATGTGTGGCTATATCGGTCACAGGGTTCTTTATTGATTGGTGAATATAGGCCATTACGTGGCCTATTTTCATCCAATCATTCGATTCTGTGACTGATATAGCTATTCCCTCATCCAATAAATAATACATATTTATTTTTCTGATTTTGGTATTTATAATTAATTAAACTAAGTCTAACAGAATAAAATTCTTGATTAGTTTTAATATATACAAAATATTTATAAAAGATTTTTTTTTAATTATAAAATTAAAAATTGAATATGTCTTTTCAAATAGGCTTTTAATAAAAATAATCAATATTATGTATACAGTGAGATCTCTCCAAATTCATTCTCTATAAATGCACACCTTCTTTATATACACGCTTTGGTCTGATCCCAAGCTTAGGACTTAAATGCTAAATACATCCTATATATTCTGCATGTGCAAGAAGTTTTCCAGTCCTTTTATATTATAAATTTATTCTCTAAATGCATAGCACATGACTACAGTTTAACCTTACTATAACGAATCTTCATTTTTAGAGGTCACAATTCATTATAAAGAGATAAATCAGTAATGTCTTACCGAATTTTAACAATTTATTCGTGATATAGTGATACTAAATATCATATCCAATCAGATTTCAATAATAAATATCTTAAGCAAAATGTTAATTTTAAAGCAATCTTATTTAATAAATCAATTATTAGGGGCTTAAGTATTAAGGTCATCTTTCGAAGTCACAGCATCTAAAAAAAATCAATTATTAGAAGGGATTGGCATCTCTGGCTCAGTGGTTAAACCACAAGTCTCCTATTAAGCTAAAGTTTCATTACACAGCAATAGGCCATTAGTTCAGATATTAGCCGATATATAAAACTAAATGATTTTCATAAGAATTTTATATATACTGTTAATATGTAATTCTTGCGAACTACAACTGTTAGACAGAGTGTCAGAGTGTTATTTCTTTTTAATTAGCGTAGTAATCTCAAGGCTTTTACAAGTTTATTATCACAACTAATTCAAGTAAAGATTCTAAGTCAAAGTTTATGCTGGTATTTCACAGTCAATAATTCACGAGGTATCGAGTAATTATATTTTCAAATAAGATATTTATTGATAAGAATAGAAATAGAATTAAAAAAAATAAAAGATATGACAAGAGAGAAAGAAAAGAAAAGAAACGAAGTATGAAACTAAAATGTAACACAATAGGCCTGTTTGCCTCTTAAAAACTACTGAAAAACTGACTTGTCAAATCCTACCTTTTTACATGGTCTAAAAAGCTACTTATTTATATAAAATACAGTATATAGAAAGATATAACTAATATGTCTAATTTATCGTATATGTCAAATATGTCCGATATGTCATATATGTCGAATCCATCTAATATATCTTATTTGTCGATTTTGTCAGATATATCATATATGTCAGACATGTTAGAAATGTCAGATTTGTTAGATTTGTCAGATCTGTCAGATTTGTCGATCATCTGCGTCACATAGATCCTATCATATTTTATCTGTTCATAGTACTGAATATAATAGGCATATGTATTAACATGCGTACAAATCTGGTTGATTGATCCATTGATCAACATTGATCATGCCTAAATACTGCATGATGTAAGAACAAGTAGATACAAATGAAGCCTGGGATCAACAGAAACTTGGCCTTTGCTGATTGGTCTGTAATTGATACAGTCTTACGACTCATACGGCAGGTGACCTTATTTCTGTATATGATCATAAGATTGTATATAAATTAAGGAAGTGATTGACTAGAACTTAGTAGATTAGATCAATGGTGATAATAAACTATATTGCACGCCTGCAGCACTGTCTAATCAAGCTGTCATTAGGGTTAGAGATCAGGTTCGATTTCTGAGTTGTTTGACGTTATATGTATCAAAGTCACCTGGTTGATGTGGTCTATATGCATAACTGGAGATCACCGTTTAGGCAAATCTTGTGGTACTATCTTATGAACCCTGTAGCTCTCTATATAGTAGTGATAAAGCCAAACTAAGTAATTGAATCCTGGTTATAATTCACTAAGATCATAGTAAGAATAATGATGATGTTCACTATAGCTAAGATGAACTCTCTATCCAAATTTGACAGTACCTTTGATGCTAAGTACCTATTACTAGATTACAACAAGAAGTTCGAGTTGCTGGGTTAGAATATCATGCTTAGATAGGCATATTGAAGGAGATGTATTCGATATGGTAGATAACTTGAAAAATAGGAAAATACCTAAGATTGATTGGTCGATACGTCACTATAAAGTTGGTATTCAGTGATTACTTCGGTATGAGCTGGGCTTAAGTGTCAAGGTTGGTTTTTCAAAGTCGCAGCACTAAAAAAAAAAAAAATCAATTATTAGGAAAAAAACTCTTTCCCAAACAACTAAAAACAAATGAAAAAGATTGATAAAAAGAAAAATAATGCCTGTTACTCGCTCAACTTTAAAACAAAAACAAAACCAATGAATTAATAATAAAAACAAACAAAATATCCTCTTTAATTATAGTAAAACCTTTGGTTCTTCTTTCCAAACTCTAGAAACTATC